GCAAGCATCATGATGGTCTACTGAGACGCGCGAGCAACGTGAGGTCGAGCGTTGTCTAACAGCAGCATGAATTTTCCTTGTCCAGAAAAAGACCTCTTTTGATCAAGGTCTTCACTCTGATTGTTCATTTGTCGGCGGTGGCGTTCCACAGTCACCGTCTGACCAGTTCGCAGGAGTTCGTAACTAAGTACACCCTCCACGGCCCTCTAGCTACACGGGAGAACATTCTTCAAGTGGATGTCTTTTTTGGCGGCGATATACGAGGTTGCCCAGGCTCTACCCATGACGTTTTACGTTCGGGATTCTCTACGCAAAATATGCTTTTCATCATCAGTCACAATTTTCCACAAAAGGTGCTTTTTTGTTGCCGGTGGGCAAGCAGTGGAAAGGCAGCTTCATACCTTGACCTAGGTTGCGTTCGATCAAAACATGTGGTGCAAACGCTTGGAAATATCCGTTTGGGTGACTTTTAACTGAGCTGCAAACCCATTTTGCGATTGCGTTGAGTCTTCAGCCAGCAGAGTTTGCATTTTCCAACGTTCGAGGCTGTCCGGGGCGCGGCTGGTCACCAAGATCGAAATCACCACGTCTAAAATGTTTGTACCAATAAATAAACGTTTTCATAAGACAGCCTCGGCAGTAAGAACACTTCAAATTGAAGCCTGTGCTTTAGAAGCATTCGTTCCTCGTTGGAATTCGTAGAAGATGCAGTGCCGAATGTGCTGTTTATCAGCTGCCGTGGTAGATGAAGCTATTCTGAGAGACAATGTAATTCTTAAGCCTCATTACTTCAGAACCATAAAAAACCGCATGTATATTTCTATTTTGAACATAACTTTAAGCTCAAGGAAAAAACAAAAAAATCAGGCCATGCGCTTAGTAAATTTTGTGCAACCATTCACGGATTTGTTGAGCCCCTGTAACCATGGCAACCATGACAACTAATAAAGATTCTTCACAAATTATTGAAAAATATAGGCGAGCTCAAGGAGACATATGTAGCCAGCAGCCAAAAAGTTTTTGGATTATTTTATGACCTTGAGTGAACCATTACGCGTTCATGAGGGGGGGATAACGGAGAGGTCTATCATGTTTCCTCAACTGCACTGGCGCAGCCAATTCGAAGCAATGTCAGTTTGGAAGTTGAGAAATTTTAACAATTACGTTCAAATGGGGATTTTCGACTTCTAAACAATTCTGTAAAATGATTGTCAATGAAACTCGTGCCTTTTACGCCAAATGTATCCATTTCGAATCGTGGACGGTTCACCGTTGGTGCAGGAATTATGAAAACCGGATTAACCACCTCTTCTAAATTACAAATAAATGCAAATAAATGCTTTACATGGCTGTAGATGAACTTGAAAATACTTTGTGAGGTGACGCGTGTTTATTGTGAATCGGACACGTCCTCGTGCACAACAACGTACACACCCCAAAAGTGTGTGCAATTAGCACCAAACACTGGAATCCAGATAAAAATCCCTGATATCACGAAAATCTTTACAAATTTATTCAGGCTGCATGTCTGCTATTGATTTCAGCGTTGGTTATTCGAGATTATACGATTGTAGCAAGTGTGTTCCAGGAATTCCTTGGATGCTATGGACAGTAATACCTTCCACCTTCAGAGCCATTCTCGGCTGGCGTTTATTTAATATGTATTTGCACGTTACAGGGGCTTCTGGTTTAGTGGTTTGCGTCTGTTCTGCTTAGAGGCGTCTTCTACGATGTGATTTCCCCCCCCCCTCCACGATCACTAATTGGTTAATTGGTTAACGATTTGCAGAAGAGTGTGGATTTATGCCCCAAAATAATCATGAGTGGTGTTTAGTGGCTTAATTACTTCTTAAAATTCCAACATATTTCCTTTAACATTGAAATCCTGCATGTCTGAAGTAATTTGCATCAACTGGATAAGCGTACGCGTGAAAGAAGTTGATTTAATAAGAGCGACACAAATAATTGGTCTGCTTCTGTGAATGAATTAGGGTGAGCAAGCACCGTATGCATTGCCCATGTTTGCACTTATAGCACAAATGCTTGTGAAGAGCCAATCGTGGCACCGAAAATTGCCACCTAGGATTGGTGGATTGGCAGTGGAGTTGCCGAAGAACAATCCGTCAGAATTGGCTGGCCGCACACCTACGTATTCACACGCACACACACACTTGAACTGAAAAACGAGATAGGAGGACAACTGTTTGTGTATCCAGTTATTACCTGGATTACCTCCACCCCTTTCTTTTAGCGTCTGTGTGTGTGTGTGTGGTATCACCTCCACACCCGCCAGGAACACGACCCCCCACCCCCGACACACACACACATATCTCACCCCCCAGCACAACCAATCACAGCTGTCCATCATCGCTTTATATGGGGAAGGAAGCGAAGCAGAAGTGATCAGTCAAAATTAAGAGGACATAATCATCAACAGACAGTACGACAGACAAAGTCCCTCTCTCTCTTTCCATTTCGATTGGAATATAAATGCTAAGATGGCCGCGACTAGGCTGGCAAATTGCTTATACCTCGCGTGGTTATTGGTAAGTAAATTGTTTTACTTTATGTGCGGTTTACATGTTCTGAAGGCCACTTTGACGTTGATGTCTAACCACATCTTGCTCACAGCTCAGTCATGAAATTACTTCGGACAAAATGTGCATTCAAATTAGACCACAATATAGGGGGCACTGTGGTGAATATTCCCAGGAGAAAGAGCTTTTCCTTGCTAACCTGGATGTGAAAGGAATTGTCGTGTTTTTTTTGAAATCCTTTTAGCCCACTTGATGTGCCCAGTGCAAATTTCCCTGTTGTGCGCTGGGAGCCTGGCTAAAATTATTGTTTTGTGTTCAAATTGTTTATGGTCTCCCATTAGACACTAATTATCTTTAGACGGCGGGGCAATCAGCTCGTCTGTTGGGCTGGCTGGATGACAGTTATGACTTTTCTGACAACAACGACAAGCAAACCTCAGTGGCTTATCAAAACACTGAATTACATATTTGATGGCTTACCGGGCAGTTAAATTGAGTTATTTTTTTAACTAGCGTTTCTGAGTATAGCCAATCAAACTGAAGCAAAGTTTATATACTGATTTCACGCGTGATAGTGCTTAGTTAAACAAAAATAAATTGGTGCACAACGAGGCTAATTTTTAAAGAGCAAACATGGAATCATGAAATCCTCTTTTCACGACTTTTATTTCATCAGGTCGGCTGAATAAATTTTAAAAGATCATGAGTATTTATGCGGAATTTACCAGTCAGTGAAGTGAAGTCCAATTTACTGAATATCGGTATCGATTTATGCATTTTGAATAGTAATTATTTTGGTCAGTCGTTATCTTGCAAATAGCCAAATTAAGGGAGGTGTTCCAGGCGAAAATGCTTGTTCTAACGCTCGACTTTTCACGTGTCTTCTTAGTCTTGTGTGTAACTTGGCGATATAGTCGTAGTGTTAATACGAAATGGTCAAATTTACCGCTAGATTAGGGCTTTAACCGTTCCCCGTGTGTTTGTTGATAGTCCACCAAAATAATCTGGCGAAATGACATTAAACTCATTTGCCCTTTTAGATTTGGTTAAATATTTGATAATGTACTACTGTCTTAACCAATAAGATTTGCTCACACTGCAGAATTTAGCCTATCACTTTAGACATTAACGCTAGTTTCGTGTGCGCTGAGCTCTGCTCAGCGAATCAGGATTAGAATTTTGGCATTTGCTTATTAAATTACAATTATCTCAGCCCTTCAAAAGTCACTTGTTTCCCCAAATCGATCCTCGAGGTAGCAACAAGTGCGTAGATACTTCTTGCCACTTTTAGAGCCAACTTAAACACCTGGCATTTTGAAGCGAAATCTTCCAGAAGCCAGTGAAACAGTTTTGTGTAGAAAAAAAAAGTGTACTACTAGGAACCACGTCGAAGGACAATTTTTCCGATATTCGGCTGTACTTTGGCTTGGTTTTGTGCTAAAGTGAACAATACCCCTAGACCCACTGACCGAAGCGGATTGTGGGCGAACGCGGAAAGGTCATGGGTGCGTGCACCATCACCTACGTGCAAAAAAAGTCCGATTTTGTGAATTTCACCTTGCCAGTTCCACGACTTCAGAACCTCTCAAACATAACCATCGTGGTGAATAGGTGTTGATCCCATTTTCTACCTGCTTCTGCCTTTCTGTTCTGGAAGGCTTTAGTTAGGTCAAAGGTCACGTCCAATGAGCTTGATTTGATGGTGGCATCTTGTTTCTTAAAGCACTTTCTCCACTTCAATCTCCTTCGAAATTGGTCCGACTGTGTTCCATCGTTCTTGTCAAATGTCTTTGTCAATTCCAGTCGTAATGAAGTTGTTAAATTGGTGTCATGAAGCCAGTCTTGTTTCGGCATAAATTTCCGTCCGGTTACTGCTGCTAGCGTGAATCGTCACTTATCGCTGGGAGTTGAAAAAAAATGTGTTTTTAGAACTCCAGAGACTCTCGAAGAAATTTTTTGTTCTTAAACATCGTGATTGTGATCGCGCTAAGCGTGTAAGAAATACGAATGTGCGTGAGTTGAAATTTTAAATTAACAACACACTAGTCGCTTAAGACAAGCCCTTTGTGCCAACCAATAGTGACGCCACGTTTGTGAAGAAGGAGCAGTTGGATTTGTCACGTCCCTTGTGAATACTGTTTACTGCAGGCATTTGGGGTCTCTTAAAGTTGATTTATCACGATTATGACGACGTTTTGGTGCATTCGCAATCTCCTGAGTGGTACCAACGACCTTAATTTGGACGTATCACGTGTCTACGGCACTAATTACTGTCTCCATTAAGAAGGCCAATTCATAGCCAACCATCAAAGTGGAACACTTAACTACCAAAGTGGTGATTGATGGTAATAAAGGATTTCACCCTACACTCACCACTCCATCACTACTATCAATTATTACGCACACCTTCCAGTCTATGGGGTTCGTTTTAAGCGCAGATTGTGTCTCAACGCCACCTTCTTAATGCACTTCCGTCTGACATTCCAGACTCTGGTGGCGGGCGACGGATTCTTTGAGATGCGCATCGAAAAATTTCAGCTGGACGAGAACTTCCCAGCTTCGAAGTGTTGCCATCAAGGAGGAGACGTGGCTGATCAATCCTTCACAGCATGTCTCGCAAAATGTCAATTCCTCATTCGTGTAAGTCTAGCTCCCATTTGCCCTTCTCTTTTCAACCTAAAACGACACGGAAAGTCCATCGTCCGGCTTCTGAATGACTGTTGGTTCGTAGCGTCCACAAAACGAAAGCCAGGGTAGTCTGTGTCGAACATGTTCTCGTTTTAGGTCTGTCTCGACAGATACCAGACAGTCTGGAACGCCGACAGACTGCCCGAATGTCCGATGGGCAGCAAAACCGTCCCTCTTCCGCTGACTCAGCTCAAGAAACCGCTGGCTACCATCGATTTCCTCGTTCCGAGCAGGTGGCAGGTGAGACTGGCTTCCTCAAAAACTCCTTCACACCTTCCAACACTTTTATTGGTGTGTTTGTCTTTGTTTTAGGAGAATTTCACTCTCATTCTGGACGTTCTTCATGACGTCGGCGAGTCAGGTATGATTTGGCAATCGAGAAAAAAGCATCGATTTTTGTTTCTCCTCAAGATCATCATTCCATACTTTGAGTTTCCTGATTTCCACCTCGTAGCACCACCAAAGCTCATCTTCCGACTTCCCTCGAATGAAGTCAACGTTACCTCCTACCACCACTGGAAGGTGAAATCCTTCGGTAGTCGGTCGTTTCCCAGCTACGCGCAGCCTCAATCTCAAACGGCGCCCGCACAACGCGGAATCGGCCTCAGCGTTCTCACGACGTTTATTTTTAAATGCGCACCGGGATTCTTCGGTCCACTGTGCGAAGATGAATGCAACCAGCATGGAAATCAGCCAGGTGCCGCGGCAGAGTGTGAGTCAGAGCAGCCGCAGTGTCCGCAGGGCTACACTGGGCGGCATTGCGACATTCGTAAGTTGGATTTTATGATTTGACAAAAAATTGACAGAAGTAGCCCTCACAGGGGTGCTTAGATTAGTCACTTCTCCGTCTGGTCTGGTGGGTTTCGCGCAAGGAAGGGTGACGTAGAGCAGCTTCCTGTGTTAAAATAAAGGTGTGATTAATGCTTGTGATTTCATTTTCATTTTATACCTTTTTTGGCAGCGATTTGCAGCCAGGGGTGCCAAAACGGCGACTGTGTGGATCCAAACACCTGCAGGTAAGAAAAAGTGATGAAAACTTTAACAATTCCTGTCACTTAAAATATTATTTTATACGTAAAAATACGTTTTGCATGCCAATTTTACTAAATGAAGTCCTGACCGTATTAGCCAATGAAAGTTTTAGTTTGGTCTCGCAGCAATCTGATTGGCTGCTCTAAAGTCTTACCGTTCGTTCACACAGAACTCGAGAACTTAGGGGAGATGGTGAAATGGTGATCACTTATTTGATGATAATAGTACGCTTTTGGTTTATTGTGTGGGGATGTGACTCAATAAATCGACGGGAGTGTACTACCCAATTTACCGTCAAACGCGTAGAAGCAATTGATTCGTTAGAAACAGGTAGTATCGTTGAAGTAAGAAAACAATCCTTAACAGCGAGTTTCTGTACATTTGCAGATGCCATCAGGGTTGGATTGGAGACGACTGCAGCACGTGTCAAGTTTATCCCGGATGCAAACACGGTGCATGCTTGGTTGATGCTGGAACAAATCGACAACTCCCATTCACATGCGCGTGCAGTGACGGATGGGGCGGAATGCTCTGTGATATAGGTGAGTTGCCTCGTTTGCCAAGAAAAAAATGAATCTGTTTGCATGAAATCAACTAGGGCATTCGTCACCTTCAGATCTCCAATTTTGTCAAAACAACAAAGGCGTCTGCAAGAACCATGGGAAGTGTGAGAACGTGCGCAATGCCAACGGCCAATCGTATCGCTGTGTCTGTGCCCCCGGCTTCAGGGGCGACCATTGTGAAATGCGGCAACTTGACTGTCTCAGCAGCGGGTGTCGAAACGGTGGTCAGTGCACCCAACACTTGGATGGGCAGGTTGGCAACCCTTAATACAAAATTTCATCTACTCATATAAATAAAGTATCCTTAGTTTTAACTGTTCATTTTTTTTCTCAGAGCCGCTGCATTTGCCCGAAAGGCTACTACGGCAACTTGTGTGAGTTCAATCAGACCGTCTGCTCGGAGCATCCGTGCCAGGCCACGAATTCCGTCTGTCATCCTTTACCGAAGGCAACTAATGGGCGACAGTTTTACTGCACCTGTCCACCGGGCTACACTGGCGACAACTGTGAAATCAACATCGACGACTGCGCCTCAAAGCCCTGTCAAAATGGTGCGTCGTTGCTCACCATTCCGTGTTAATTTCGTTCCTCCATTGCCAAAATGACAAGCCTTTATTGTGATTTGCAGGAGCCTTTTGCGAAGACCTCATCAGCAGTTATCGGTGCATTTGTCCATCTGGATTCTCTGGAATTTGGTGTGAGAAGCACGAAACCGAATGCCCTCCAAAACTGTGTCCACAAGGCTCCAGTTGCTTCAAGACGGAGGGCGGTGCCTTCAAGTGCTCACCCATAAATGCAGCCACCCCCCAAAAGCTCACGAGTCCTCTGGTCGCCAACGTGACCCCATCGACGCCCACGGATGCTGTTTCCACTGAAAAGAGCAACGTCGTCATGGTGCATCTGCAGCCCTCCTTTCTGACCTTGACGGTCGGCATTCCGGTGGCGGTGGCTTTGTCTGGCCTTGTCCTAGCGATAGCAGTGTGCCTCTTCATGGTGGCGTGCGTGTGGAGAAGGGAAAAAAATCGATCCAAGGGGAAACCGCCGCCACAGAGCTTCTTTCCGAAGCTCTCACTTGAGGACGACGTGAACGGCTACGGCTCGGAGACGTCGACGATCTGGTCCGCCTACGAGCCCCTCAACCCCACCCGATCCAAGGACACTGGCCTACCCAAACTCTCGCTCTATCCGAAGTTCAAGGTCAACGACAGAGCCAAGCCGTCGGAACCCTCGTTGTACGACCAGAAGCGCTATTCTGAGGCTCCCGGTGGACGTCCCTACTCAATCCACGTCTCCCCGACCCTCACCTATGAGCAGCCGGGGGGATACGATGAGACCCGTGTGCCAACGCTCCCCCCGCGACCAGCCAAGGCGGGACCCCTTGTCACGTACTCGTCCACCCTCCTCAGACCGTTTTTCTATCCTCTAACCCCACAGACTTTGTTCTCTGGACAACGATTTCTCAATCCGCCACCGGAGGTGTCGTATGCAGACCTCTCTAATGGCATGAAAAGGTGCGTTATTCCGAGTTTGCTTTAGAATGTCAGATTTCACTGTGATTATGCAAAATACCCTACTGAATCATTAATGCTTACCTATTGACCGCTTAGGCACAAGGACACAATCGTCTACACTCTGCTAAGGCCCAATAAAATGCACCAGAGCTTCTACACAGACCCTTCATCCGGGAAGCAGCCCTCAAATAGCGGTGGCAACGGTGCCGACAAGACAACATGCGGTCGTCAACACAGCAACCATCCACACTTGGCGCTGATCGAGACGAAGCGCGTTGGAGACTTCCAAAATAGCCGGGGGCACAAGAAGGATTTCTCACTCCCTGCCCTTATCTGATGCTCCTTTATACTATTATCTACAAATGCGTTCTTACATTCACACACACGCGCACACACACACACACACTAAACACACTCCCTCCGACGCACTTCTACACTCACATTCAGAGAGGAATCCGGCATTTCTATTGGCCAGGGCGGAAAATTCGACGTTGCTGGTTGCATTTACACTTCAGAAGGCGATTCTCTACCCATCTAGCGTCCCCACTGCGCCCTGGTCGTCAGGTCCTAACGTCGAAAATTTACGCACGGAGAGGATTTTTGCCTCGACCGAGTTCTTTTCCATTTGTGGCCTTATAACGAGACCCCCCTCAAACGCACGCAAAGTCGCCGTCATTTGTTCCATCAAGTTGTATGATCTAAAGAGATACACTCGGAGTTGTGTGTACTTAAGACCGCAGCTGTAAGTGCAACTGATGATGGCGAATGATTATTTTTTGCCGAAAAGCGGAAACTGGTTGGGTAATGAACCGGGATCATATCTGCTGTGACCACAGAAGCTATCTCTGTGGTGATCTAGTGTTAGTCTCAGTAAGTCTTATAGACAATTAGATCGACACTAACTGACAGGGAGACTCAAAAGAAATTAGGGAGACCGGAGACGACAGAGTCACCCCAGTTGAATTCGCTGAATCCGTCTAGATACGGCATAGCTCCAACTCCCGACTAACACTCAGAAAATTCTGCTATGTCTGACGCAGCGAGTACCATTGTAGGTCGCCAACCTTATGCTTTGGCATTCTGAAGGCCTGAGAAATACCAGTTAGAAGAAGGGATGTAGAATGAATTGTGCGCACTCTAGCCAAATAATCCCAACACGAACTGCATTTTACGAGTGCAGTAAGGCGTGATTTTCGTGGCACACACCTATTTCTTGAAGAAGAAAATTTCTCATGCATAAATTTGTTACGGTTCAGGGGACACAGGTGTAGATTTATGTATTCCCTCGTAAGCACGCCATTGGCCTACTACGAATCATAATATGACCTTGTGCAGGGAGCGATTACTGGCTCTGCCAAAGGCCACTTTCATATGGCCTAGACGGCCTTGAGTTTGAGTGGGAGTAAAAGTACACTCGAGGTGAAAAGGCCAAGAGGGATGAAGGCCGATAAAAGTACACATGTTGGCGTGCTTGATAATGAAAATACAAAATTGGAAAATTCTTGCGAGTTATTGTTTTCTTGGATGCTGAATCCCTCGCAAATTGCTGCATTTTATTGACATATTTAAACTTTAGCTAGCAAATCATTAATGTAACCTAGTGCCTTCAAAAATGTACAAATATTTCTGCACGGAAATTCACTATTAGCAGCTGGGGAAATCAATGCAATCTTAATTAATAAGTAGTGTATGCGCATAGAACTCATAATCGAACTCCTAGAAACCACTAGTTGTGCTTTCCGTACGTTCGTGGTTAAGTTGAAAGCATGAAGGCCATAGGGAGAGGTAGAAGTAAACACTCATGCCTGATTGGTCAACTCTTAGCCAATCAGAACGACAAATGCACATGACGATCTGCAATTCTTTTATCTTCATGTTTTCAGTGGCACTCCATGTCTTCACATAGAGTTGTCCATCGGCTTCTTTGGTTCCTCGTCACGACGGTTTTTGCTCTAACTAGCGTCTTTCTTTATGAAAAATTGCAAGACGTTTTAAGTCACCCGAGTTCTGTGTATCATTACACACTCGTCCAGTCGCTACACAACTCCACGAAATCCGACGATATTTACTCACAGCTCAGTCGCCAGGCGCTGGATATCTCACACGATATCTGGCTAATGAGCCGGTCGGCCAGGGACTCCAAGGAATTCCGGTCTCAGCTTGAGGACATGTCGATTCAACTAGAGGCTCGTATCTCAGTGATGGATCGAATAAGCGGCGAGTCTGAACGGCGGCGCATTCAACTTATTCGCCTCGCAGAACTCCTCGAACGCCAGTTAGACAGACTTCAAAACCCTCCCGACTGCGGCAAAGCCAAATTCATCGTTACAGACCTTCCATATTGCGGTTTTGGTTGTCAGGTGCATCATGTTGCCTTGTGCCTGCAGTTGGCGTACGCCCACAATCGGACACTCTTCGTGAACGGCCAGAACTGGTTTGACATCTTCTATCCAGTCACTAACTGCTCAAATCCCGGCCCTGATGCAACTTACCAGCCCATTGTAAAAGTTGGTGTGTCCGCTGGACCCTCTGCGCCACCGGGCCTCACGAAAACCTGGGCGGATGCGCTGCGACACCTTCATGGTTCCCCCTATGCCTGGTTTCGAGGTCATCTCGTCAGATTCATTCTCAGATTTAAACCCACCACCTTCCGAAAGCAACTGTTTGCTGGACTCGAAAGTGCCCATTCAATGCCCCTCGTTGGTGTTCACGTCCGGCGAACCGACAAGATCATTTCTGAGGCCAAAGCCTATCCTATTTCACGCTACATGGAGAAGGTGGAATGGGCTTACCGTAAACTCCAGATCGAAGAAGAGCTGTTTCCTCTTGGACAGCGACTAGAAAAGAAGGTGTTCTTGGCGTCCGACGACGCAAGAGTCTTTAGCGAGGCCCGAGATCTCTACCCATCCTTCACTTTTATCGGTGATGAAAACCGCGGAAAAAGCTACTGGACGAGGAATCTACGCCGAGGTGTTCAGAACGTAGTCTTCGATGTATTCAGTCTGGCAAACTGTGATTACGTTGTCTGCACATTTTCGTCAAACGTCTGTCGTCTAGTCTATGAGCTGCTGCTGACGGATGTTAGGGTTCACGGCGACAGGTCGGCACACGTGAAATCTGTTGATGAGCCATACTTCATGCACGGGCAGCAACGACGCTCTTGGAGGGTCCTGTCAGACATTCCTGGAGGTGGTATTAAACAAGGCGACAACGTTACTGTGTCAAGGAACCTCTGGAACGGCTCTATTGTCACTGACCGGGGCATAATTTTGCCGGCGTATCTTGTGCAGGAGAACATCCCACTGCTTCCTCCAGACTGACGTGACTATTCATCTGTTTGTTTAACTGTTTTCAGCGAATCATTGACCTCCTTTTCACTCAGTAAACTGACGGCGTTGGCTAGACTTTGGCCCTGGTGATGAATGCAATTAATTGAGGTCAAGGGATGCATAAAGTCCACGCGACGCGTTGCGGTGTGAGTCACCGTCCACTAAGTTGTTTAGTTGTAAGCAATTTAGGGTAAAATGAATGTCATTACATTCTCTGCAAGTACAGAGTGCGTGGATGTCTGTATTGCCCTTGGGGTGGCAATTAGCCCAACGGCGTCCAATCAGCTTTCAGCTGAAATTGGGTTTGTTATTGAGGCAAATACACCGGAGTGACTAATCCGGTTTTGCCTTGGTGAAATCACGTGATCGCAGGTGCGGGTGGGCGTCTGATTAGCATCAGTTGTACATCGTGAGGACTTGTGACCGCAGCGAAATCTGTGTTAACCCCACTCTCAGCGTGGCACTATTCACCTAGCCTAGTGTGAGACAAACGTACATGCACTGAACTCACAAAAGTCATCTTGATACCCAGTACGGGCCTTCAACGCCTGATTGTTGAGTCGATAGGAGACAACGGTGACTCAGAGCTGCTTATCAGATTGTTCAGGCCAGGTGTGTTGACGTGTATACGAGGTCGGGAGCACTCAAATTTCAAGCGAGTGCCTCACTAGGACCCGGGGACGAATCAGACGCATTAAATGCTGGAAGGGGCGGGTTGCCATGGTGTCTGAGCATCCGTCAACAGCGATAATGGAAGTGACTCATCACAGTTCGCCGAAATGGTGACACCTGCGTCTGACGTGTTCTTTGCTCTCAACCTAAACAGGTACTATGACTTTGTGAGGATGCTTGAAACTAAGGCAACGAGGCTTGAGGCGTGTGCCATGTCTGTACCTCTTTCCTTCCTTGCTCCTCGCTCTAATCTAGGGTTTCAGGGATTGCTGAAGCAGACAATACCGCTTACGTCGATCACCGAAACCCTGGTTAACCCTTTCCTGCCAAGGCAATCTTGTGCGGGGCAATGATGACGATGATGAGGCTGAGAAAATGAAATAAGCGAGAGAGCATAACTTCTGCAAAGAAGTGCCTAAGCCAAAACTAGAATCTGCATTTGTTAGCGGCTATGTTATTTTGATGGGTACTCGATATGCTAATGTAGATCAGACACATTTACATGTTTGCGAAGGTCGCTGATGCATTAAAACAAGCAGGTCGCGTGCAACTCCGACGTAGTTTGCTCAATGAATTGGGGGCTACCCTGGCTTTGGTTGTTGACTGCTGCGCGCATGACCTAGTGCCCAATAAATGGGAATCAATGATATCATGCTACTGATTCACACTGATGACAGGAAGAGATTGTGAGCGCGCAAGTTTGACAGTTTGCGAAAACGAAAAACTGTGGCGATCTCAGGTGCACAACAGTTGTGTCTAAACTTTCACTCAAACCAAAGTTTAGGATGAATTTTTCCCCTGTGACATCTCTTTCAGTTGTCCGCACAGCGCCCTGCTTCTTCGGCATTTCTGGAGCCGAAATTGCAAACTGATACCTTACTAAGGACAAGCGCTTAATGTAGGCAAGCAAGCCCCAATTCCGGGCTTGTTCTTAATCACTCAGGACGTTATTTGTAGTGCGTAGTTATTTCACCCCAGAAAGTTATGTGAATCAGCTTCCTAGGAACCAATAAATCTCGGCAAATGTGTAAGGTACCTTAGTGCTGGATTGGTGGAACGCTTAACACCGGAAATGCCGAAGCGGTCTCTCGATCTGAAAGAACGAGGTCAGTGAATGGTAGCTAATCGATCGATACTCATGCCCAATCATCAACTTCGAACGCAACTTTGAATGTAAGGAGTAGATCGTCTGCACGACTCAGCTTGAACAATATTGATGGTGCGGCGATCTGCATAATTGAATGGGGTCAAAACCGTCTTATTCTTAGCAAATTATTGGTTAGACGCAAAATAATAGTGAAATGAGGCGATTACCGACAGATGGCCTTCTAACACTTGCAGGTTATTTCTAGATAACTTCAAGCAGTGATCTGAGGTCTTACGTCTGAGTTTAAAATTGTGGAATTTGCCGTGGGTGTTTATCTCCAACTGTCCTGCAAAAGTGACCAAGTTAGAATTGTCTGGAAGGGACTTTTGCGAGATCAAACGAAATGTTTCATCTGTTTGAGCACAAAATTTATTCCACATTCATGAGACTGAGGTGAACATTGCACCTTGCTTGGCGGAAGTTGTGGCAACGAGGTGTGAATTATTCTACATTAAGGAAATTCTAGACAATCGCATTTGAAGCATTCACTCGCATCTGATCAGTCATGCCTGGTTGCGTTTAAGAGTTTTACCAAAGAAGAATTTTTGTTATGGGCCTCAGCATGTGGTCTTGATCCACGCCGGGGCCAAGGAATTAGCCCTGGCCCGATTACGCTTGCCTGATGGGAGAGGACGTGGACACAACCGTTTACTTCAGAGCTCAACCACGTTGGTATCGTTGTATCGTGTGTGGGGCTCGCACGTGTGCATTTATACCTCGGATGTGTGAGTCATACACGCGCTAACATCATTACCTAGTTGTGATGATAATCCGAGATAAATATCCGTGTGATTAGGGGGGAGTTGAGGATCTGCGCGGCTGGCGACATGCTGCGAAAAGGGGAACCCTGTGTCGGAAGTGGAGCGACCGGATTAAGGGTGTGAATAAATAAGATCCACAATACCTTATTTAAAAACTGCGTTTGTGATAGTCCATGCTTCATCTACGCAATAAAACCGTGCGATGTCACCAATTTCACTCAAATAACCTGAAAGCATAAATTCATCCACATCTAGGTCAACGGCAAGTGCGATCAATAGAGCTGTCTTTGTTTTCTTAATAGTGTGGATTCAAATATGATCACTTTCGATCGAGTTAATCGATTAAAATAACTGACATTTCAATGCATGCACGTTCATTGGTCAATTACTAGACACAGTTAGAAAAAAATGTGTTTTATTAAGAGCACAGAGAATGGGTCATTTTATGAAAGATATGACAGTTTGTGAATTATACCAAACGTTGGAACATTTGTTTTCTAGGTCAAATGTCCGACTGCCTAGCGTGTTTTTAATTTAAAAGGCATGTTTTGAAGGATTAGCGGCTTACCTCAAGGTTAAACGTGGTTGCCAATGGTACGGGCGAAAAAGCCAATGAAGTAAAGCCAAGGCAGCAACTCTTTCGGCGGCAGCTAGCGAAGTATCGTGAATCATTTGAGAGGGAGAAAAGTGGTTGGGAAAGGGTAATTGGCAGTTTTTTTTCTCTTCTGATTGCAGACGAGTGTACTTTCAAGTGATAGCCGTGCAAGGACAGCAATACTCTTTCGTAGATTTCAACCAATAGAAATCAGAAAACCAAATGACGTAGAGCGTGGTCTGGGTAGGTGTCGCGATGCTTGAAAACAGAGTAACCAGGACAGACACTGATTAATCGGTGAGCTGTAAAACTTGAACCAACTAGAATCGCTGAGTCCACAAAATGTTTACACTATTAAAATTAAATCTTAACGTCAAAGAATGATTATACCAAATTTTTCTCAAAATTTAATTTGCCCTAGAACTGCTCGATAATTTAGCAAGTCTACAAATACCAACTCTTAAAATCCCATTTTTACATAATTGTTGGCTGTACTTATTAGGAGCGTACGTTTCTTTCATAAGTGAATAACAGAATCCATTGTTTAAAAAAGAGTATAGTTTGGGGAAAAGTAATTGCAATTTTCATTCACTCACGTCCACAAAATTGTAGAAGAATCTATTCAAACTGCAGCTGGAAGATGGCTGATATCATCTTTGCAGTGGTTCACCAAATTTCATGATAAAATCCACGGCGCAAAATGTGTAACTTCCAACATGTTTTAAACTTCAGGCAGGTTCTGGTTAATTATTGAGGCAGTTACAGCAAAATCCTCTCTAAGAATTCTGAGGATTTGGAGGGAAAAATAAAGTTGCCTATTTACACAAAATGTCATCAGATGCGAACAATGTCAGCAATCAACACTTTTGATGCTAGACCAACACCCAATTGACAAGAGGGAGAGCAGTAAGCCTTCCTTCACTAAAAAAAATATTTTTTTTTATATATTTGCCCGTTCACTAATTCAATAGTCAAGCGCTATTAACAAGTTTTCCCTGATCTTTTATGTCGTGTTGCTCTTTTGGTTCTAATCAAACGTCATCTGAATTTACGGCGAGCAGTAAGGGAACATAGCAATCGTGAGTGAACGCCATTAGCAAGTGGTTAACGTGAAGGTATTTCACGTAAATGTGTTCGTCCAGGGATTGATATTTAGACGATCCTAAATAAACCAACCGTGCACAAAGTGCACGCATAACCAGTACGGCCATGACAAATTAGTTTAGCTACACGCCACCTGCTGTTATACTCTGTATTCGGTCACGCCGTGTCACTGTAGATCGTCGGCTCTGGCGTGGCTCCCAAAGCGGCACCGGGGGCTTCAACAAATTTTTAATACAAGCAGGAAGTCTAACTTTCACAACATCCATTTTTCTCAAGCAAGCATGCCATGTAATACAGACCTCATTATCTAGCTATTGTTATTTAGCAAACAATGACTTAAAATCGAATATTCGTTGGACTTGAAATTTGAAATTCATTCTCGTCCAACACCTTCCGACTGAATGACTAAATTTGGAAGTTGAATTGCGCTATGCATGTGGTGATTACGCGTTCATTCAGCGTAATTTTAAAATGTTGACTCGGTGTATTACGCTTCCAAAGTTGTTGTTGATGTATGTGTTATTGATAACATACAATGTTACTGTTGTGGTTTTGACTTCTGTGGGCTTAAGAGGAATTGAGAGTGAAAAACGCGTGCTTTTTCTTTAACCCACAAAATATGTCTGCAATCGACCGACAATTAGTGCATTGTCCTTTTCGCAGGCTAGTTCTTCCTAATTGACTCGGATTTCTGGTGAAGAATTAGGGGGAATTACTGATAAATGCACAAGCTTTGTAGATTGAGAAAGAAGTCATTCAAATACAGGGCTCATTTTTAAACTCAAAGATTATTCATTGGAATCTGAGAATGGTAAAATGTACTTCAACTGCATATCCACATAAAACCGTTAATTTGGGGTAATTAAAAAATACCTAGCCAATTATAAGTTACTTATAGGTACTAATGATTTTATTTTGTTATTTTTTGGAAGCGAGAAAGGCTTTGGCAAAGGAAATAGACATAGCCAATAACGAGGGCAATAAAAAAAATGTTTTGTTAAAGGACAGCAGGTTTAAAGAGGAAGAAACACAAGAACAGGGCCTAATATTTGTGAAATCGTTATATTTTTCCACAAAATCCGAAAAAGGTAGGTTAGTGATGCAGCAAACTATTTAAATGACCGGAAGAACCAGTACGGCTAACTCCACTAAAAGCCACTTCATAATAACGTAGTCCACGAGGCCGGATATCTGGAAAAAGCACTGGATAAATGAGCAGCTGAAATTATATTGTTCTTTCCCTTAAAATGCTACGCTGTTATATTTAATTGTGAACTGGACCAAGTAACCGTAATAGAGGTACTGTATTGCACAAATTAGATAAATATTCTGGAATATGCGAGTTGCCTAAATTTGAACTATTTTCATTTATAAAAAGGTAACAGCTGGTTCGTCAACTTCATTTAAACCCTAATTTTCGTAGTTTATCTACATCCTTACGTTTACCAAAATATATCGTATTGTTCCCCAAAAAAATAATTTGTTTAACATTATTAATAGACTTTGTCGTCGTATCTGTAACTGGTTGATGTTATTGCTCCGCATTTTGAGTTCGTGGTTGATTTACACTTGCAGTCTTGTCTTAGTCGTGTAACATTATTTCTACATCTAGTCTATAAAATATTTTAATACCTATTTTCTTCAACTCTTAGCACTTCCAATCTTCAAGTTTCTTAAATTTGAGACGTCCATTCATCGTTGTGTAGTCTCCTTCGCTCCATGTGCTAGCTTGCTAAGGTTTACTTTTTCTTTTGACATTTTGAGATCTTAGGTATTTCAACGGATCTAGCTACTCTAGCATGAATTGATTGTTTGATAGCACAGGTCCGTTGTGCTTGTAGTTAGTTAAATAATGTGAAAGAGTTAATAGGTGCTAGGAGTAGTTGCAGAGTTTGCAAAGTATTGAAGAATCCATTCTAATTCTCGTGTCTCCTAAATTTAGAACTAAATTTTGGCATCTGTCCCATCAACTTAACCGACTACTAAGTTCATTCAGCATTTAGTTTTACCTAATTGTGTGTGCCAAATGCTGCACATATATTTAGTCTTACAACGAATTAGATCAACGTGAGTGCATATGTCTTTTTGAAAGTTAGTGGCTTTTCCATTGGTTGATGTTAAGCTCACCTGATAGTTTTATGTGGAGATTTTAACTGCATTTTTTCTGCTTTAGACTACTGCCTATTCTTGTTATGGAGACCACTGTCGAAAATTCGGATGCCCTTGAACAGCAATGGATTGAGTTAGTTCCCTACTCTTTTTCTCTCTTTATGTTTTTGGTCCTGTCATTAGCTCGTATGGTGGGTTTGAGTAGAATGGGGTGCTTTTTTAAACTGTTTTCTTTTCCATGAGAATATTTTGTTAGTTTATTTTTTTTCTCGCCTCTCGAACTGATAACTGGAAACAAAAAGTGTTCTTTTGTAAATGAAATACCTTGATAAGTATAATACTCATGAAAGTAAATAATGCAAAGTTCATTTTTTGCGGAATCTTTTGACCTTATGTGAGTTTAATGCACCATGTCTATCACGTATTTTAAAGGTCCGGTGAACCATGTTATGGAGTACAGGTTAGAGTTTAGTACTGCTAGTAGTAGTTGCCGAACTAGTCACCCGAAATTTTAGCCATCATTGAACTTAAACTGTACGTACTCACCTATTTGTGGGATTGTTTTCGACTGCACAGGTTGATAAGAACAATGAAACCTAAAACCGCGTAGTATTTTAGGTGTTGAGGCCCCAGTATGGGACTCGAACTGACGGCGTAGCCGCCACTTGATGAGGTCAGGAGATAGTTGTTTATTTGATGGTTCAACTCTTTTGTGTTTTGCTTTCTGGGTATGTTGGAGGTCGTGGATACTGAAATACACGAGGGTGCATACACTGATTCCTGTTCAGGTGTGTCCACATGGTCAATGGGAACGCTGAGAGTGGGAAAACGGAAAAAATAGGCAAATTACGAGGGAGGGTGCATTATAAATGTGTCTGGTCACGAACAGATTGAACTGGTTGATGTGAATCAGCAGATCACTGTGTATTATAGATGCAGACACCGCTCTTTTAGATAATAGGCGTCCATGAGACGCACGTAACTAACACGTAATGTTAATCTCAACGAGTTTGAATTCCTAGAGAGCAATTGCGACTGAGGCGCCAGTGCCTCTTGAAGGACCCTCCGGAACTTCTTGCTAAACTCGCGGACAGCTCACTGCTAGTCGGAGGTCTCGACATCTCCTACTCCCCAACCGACCCCTCGCTGGCCTTCGTTGGTGTTTCCGTCGTGCGAATCGGAGATCCAACCACAGGCAAGCTGGTAAACAAATGCCTTGTATATCCGGTGCTGAAATGTGTGCGTGGAGCTGTAACTCACTCGATCGCTTTTGTCCCTGTTTCAATGACAACTTGCCAGTGGCCTGAGGGTGTTTCTAATTGGTTGGATATTGCAACAAATTAGATAAGCACATTAATCAATACTCCCCACTTTTAACAAGCCTCCTTGAGTAGATATCGAAGATGGCACGATACAGTCAACGAGTGTGACCGCAGACATCTATGTTCGAAAATCTCGAAGTGAATCAGTTACTTTGTGTAGTCGACCCAGGCTAGAATGTTTTGAATTCTAGGTGCTGGAGTCTAGTCCACTGTAGCTGAACTTGTGTTTTTGTTAAATTTGGAACAAAGCAGCCCCTTGTGATTTCGTTCTCACCGTCAGTGTGTGTGATTGAGTACCTCAGCTACTCGCCCGTGACCATAGTCTTAACTTGTATAGTAATGCAACAGATTACAAAATATCGCTAGTTCTGGTAGGTAGCAAAGCCAAGGATGTGTCCATAATGAATGCTTTGTGACATTGTATTGCTCTTCAGTGGCCATAAATACTCCTTCCTTCGATCTTCCCTCGTTTTAAAGGTGATCCTGATAGCACAGTTGGCCTGATCTAAAATCAAATTATGAATGCCTAGCAAAGTAGCCACTTGCTTCGGTTTGCTAGGTGGCTCAACAAGTCACAGGGTTTGTTGTTACCCCTTACAATCGCTTCGCGTGACTAGTTAGGGTACCGTTGATAGGATTGAATGAGGCCGATTGGCTGTATTATTGATATGTCCCCTGTTGTATTATCAAGTGCACTCAAGATCGCAGCATACCCATTGAAAGGCCCGTAGGAATTGCCATCACCAATCGTTTTAAAGCTCCAGGAATTTCAGAATGAAAGTGGCTTGTAAAATCTTGCAGTTGCGGTCGTTCTCGTTTCGTTACCATTGGAAGATCCGATTTCTTCCGTGGCTAGGTGCCTGCGTCTTCTTGTTGTAATAAACAGCGGTTGAGGACGTGAGCGATCACCGGTGACCGGTTCTGTGGCTGTGAGTAAATGGATCAATGAATTTTGAAGTCTGTGATTGTTCGGATCACGCTTTTTTCTCAGAACCACATGCGGCAAGGACAAGAGGTGATATTGATGATTACTACTGCTTCCCACACCTAGATCTCGCGGTGATCAATGCCCATGAACTTTATTCTCATTGGCCACTGGTCAACTGCTTTGATTCGTCCTCTGTGCTATCCTGATCTTTACCTACATCACTGCATTGCAAGTCCACGGAGAAGCGTCGTTTTGCAAGCTAATTCTCCGTTGAAAAGGACGTGGGATGCTTCTCGTTTTGTCTCCTTTAGCCTAATGCTACGGAAACCGTTAAACTCACTGGATAATCCAGTGGCTGTTCAAGCCGAAGACATTTTCACCACAGATTTAAAACCACTCGACTTACGTTAGTGTCTGGGTGGCTGCCAGGAAAATGGTCCACTTTCGTGTAGCGAAAGAAACCTTCAGTGGACGTATGGTTGAAGGTTATTCACAGGTTGATTGGTGTGAGTAACTCACTCCTTCCCTTCTTTGGTCACTGTTTACAAGCTCGTGAAAGCCATGTTCACGGATTCCCATCCAATGACCTGACGGTCGCACCCGTTCATGGGTCGTTGATTAGCAACCAAACACTACAGTGTATCCTGTCCATTGCCCCTGTTGTGAATCGTGTTTATTCACGCCCCCTTAATCCGGGCGCTCCACCTCCGACACAGGGTTCCCCTTTTTCGCAGCATGTCGCCAGCCGCGCAGCTCCTCAACTCCCCACTCATTCACGCGAATGTTTATCTTGGATTATCCTCACACCTAGGTCTCGATGTTAGCGCATGTATGACTCACACATCCGAGGTATCAATACACACGCGCAAACCCCACACCACGACTTCGTCAAGTTCTCGAATAAACTATTGACTCTCTGTCCTTCCCACAGACTTCATCCTTGTTGGGTAGTTAGTGGTACATGGCGTCGCGACATCCTCTTCCAGAGAGAATGTTGTACAAGTTAGACTTACGCGTTTGTACCACGAATCAAGACTAATAAATTGACCAATATCTCAACAAATAATTTACTGAATCACAGGTACTCCACCTTATCCCTTTAGCCCCAGACCCTCGTCGTGGAATGTAGCCAGATCGAGGTCAACGTGCCCTACATCCCGGACTTCCTCGCGTTTCGCGAGGTTCCCGCGTACCTAGCTGCCGTGAGCGAGTTTGAGTCCCTCCATTCTGACCTCCGCGCCGACGTATTCATGGTGGACAGCAACGGAACCCTCCACCCCAGGCGCTTCGGTGCTGCCTGCCATCTGGGTGTGCTGTTGAAGCGACCCTGTTTCGGCGTTGCCAAGAAATTGCCCCTACTCGAGGCTCTCCCCAATAAGCTTCCGCGTGACGCCGATGGACGCGCGCAGAAATGCGTCATCTTCGAGGTAGGATATCCGTCTTGAACAAGATCAAGTCGAGTTAGTTACGCTGATGCCTCCCTGAATGCAGGTCAGATGTAGGTATCCGAGGCGATTAAAAAGACAGCAGGCGTCAGAGACAACAGTTTATTAGATGTAGGTCATGTAGACTGTTTGTTAGTGCGTCTTGTGTGGGCGTACAGGTCACATGCGTACTTGGGGTTTGTATGAAAATACGTGTGCTTGTTAAGACGCGTCTGCGTGTCTGGTGGTAGCTGGACCGACAAACGGCTTATTAGAAAGATGTGAATTGCCACAGTGTCGGGTTGTGATGGGCGTGGATTAACCCAGTTCACCGCGAATTCATTACTGCCATCGTGGTTAAGCCAAAACGGTCTATCCGTCTTCGTTTTCGATGCTCTGATGACCAACAATTCCGTCTGCAATATCTGTCGGTAGTTGTGCACTTCTGTTATGGGCCCCAGCATGTGGTCTTGAACCACGTCGGGGCCACGAAATTAACCCTGGCCCGATTACGTTTCCCTGATACCCGAGGCGAAGGTAAAAAGACCGGAGAGGACGTGGACGTAACTGTTTACTTCAGAGGTCAAACACGTTGGTGTCTTTGTGTCGTATGGGGATATGTGAGTCATACATGAGCTAACATCAATACCTAGGTGTGATGATAATCCAAGATAGATTTTCGTGTGAGTGATGGGGGAGTTGAGGATCCGCGCGGCTGGCGACATGCTTCAAAAAAGGGAACCCTGTGTCGGAGGATGGAGCGACCGGATTACGGAGTGTGTATAAACACGATTCACAACACTTCCATAAATAATCACCGTGATTTGGGGTGCTACCTCCTAGATGCAGCAGCAATCCTCGGTTTGGGTGAATCGTACTTGGGCAATGAAGGTGTATAGGTGCCGTTTACAGACCGTTGTGGGCCCCAGCATGTGGTCCTGAACCACGTCGGGGCCACGGAATTAACTCTGGCCCGATTACGCTTGCCTGATAACCGCGATGAAGGAAAAGACCAGAGAGAACGTGGACACAACCGTTTACTTCAGAGCTCAACCAAAACTGATGTCGTGTCTTGTGTGGGGTTTGCGCGTGTGTATTTGTACCTCGGATGTGTGAGTCATCCATGCGCTAACATCGAGACCTTGGCGTGAGGTTAATCCAAGATATATATACGTGTGAATGAAGGGGGGGTTGGGGATTTGCGCGGCTGTTGCCATGCTACGAGAAGGGGACCCCTGGATCGGAGGCGAATCGATCGGATTAAGGATTTGAATAAACACGATTTTACAACAGCTCTCCCCCTTAGCGAGAGGATTAGGCAGAATTTGTCATCCGCTGAGGTTTTTGGAAGGTAGGCTGTGGGTTTTGCGCGATTGTGATCTCTCCGTCGAAGGACTTAAAAAACAATTGGGATCGAGAAGTACTGCACACCACGCGCGACTGGCAGTATCCTCTCTGTCCTGCGGTTGTCTTCCTTCCAAGCTGAATATCGATTGGGCCAATGAACTCGTCTGCCGGAGCGTGTCGTGGAAGGAAGATTGAGGCTGACCGTACTTCTCCATAAAAGACACGGTTTCTTAGAGAATTGACGGCAAAGTTCAGCGTGCAGCAAACAAGCGAGTAAATATATTCACCTGGGAAGCACGGTACTGTATTTAATCCCTCGTTTGTCTATCCATTCGCACAGAATATCGATAACAGGCATTGCAGTAGAACTGTGCCAGGAGAAATCGCAAAGCAGTGTTCGGTTCTTGGTTAGGTGTTGCCAAATATACTCTCGTAAAATTGACGGCGCCCTTATTGAAGTTTCAAGTATTTCGGTAGCCTTTCTGGTTACATTCGGACATCGATTTAGTTGCCAGTTGCGGCAATGACTCCGAGGTAGCTCTCGTACCTCTGCAACAGTTGAGTGCTGCGCCGTAGATACTGATCGGTCAAACCGAAGACTGCTGATCCTAGATCCTCCTTTCAGCATTGTCCTTCATTCAGTCTACGCCGGGTTCACTCGCCCGCCAATCAATGGTAAATGACCCGCACGCCAGAATTCGCCAGCCATTTTTCCAGAAACCAGGATCCATTTGTAATTCTGTTGGTCTGCGAAATTCCTCTTGCAGATGGAGCGGGGTTCGGGCGTTGTCATGGCTTTTGTGGGGTTATCAAGTGTCGTATTTCCATTACGTGTTTGCGCCCCTCGGTGTTTGAGTAGGGATCGCCATCACGATCTGGGGGGTTCGTTGTTTTACCTCAAAAAGTGGTTTTGCATAAAGTTCCCCACTAATGACAATCCAAGGACTTTGTCTTGAAGCGCATGTCCTGGGCTCTCCTTGGTATTGTACAGAATCCGCATGACATTTACGTCCTACTTATTTTTCTTTCAGCGTGCAAGTCGCCTCAACCGTGGAGAAGTGCTCAATCTCCTTGGCCAAGGCGGTGTGTTGGCTGGTGCAGTAAGGCTCCTTTTTTTTAAAAAAAATTAAGTCATCTTGTGGGTTGTCGCTGTTCCCGGTCTACATATGCAGTTGTTCTGATCATCGGTTTCGTTAAAAATGGTCAAACTTGGTCCAAACACGTTCAACTGAGGGTCAGATCAAAGCCCCAATTTTATCGAGTGATTGCAAGCAGTAGTGCAAGATTTGAAACCAAATTAAAACCTTCGCAATTTTATGGAAACAGTGTTCATTAATCAGTAATGCACCCGTCGTCATCCCCTATGGCCACCGCCCGACGTGTCACAAGTTTTCTGAATTCATTCCAAGTCCAAACTGTTTGGTTTTTCCTTCCAGGGAATCCATTTATTGCCGTTCAACCTATTTTGCAGCTAACAAAACAGATGATCTTGTAAAAATGCCATAGTGGGGGTTCTTGCAGCGTCTAGTCAGCAATGTGGGTTCTAGTGCTCTTGTGGGCCCCAGCATGTTGTCTTGAACTACGCCGGAGCCACGGAATTGACCCTGGTCCGATTACGCCTCCCTGATGCCCGCGAAGAAGAAAAAGTCCAGAGAGGACGTGGACACAACCGCTTACTTAAGAGCTCATCCACGTTGGTGTCGTTGTGTCGCGTGTGTGGGGTTTGAGCGTGTGAGGATAAATATCCGTGTGAATGAGGGGGGAGTTGAGGATCCGCGCGGCTGGCGACATGCTGCGATAAAGGGGAACCCTGTGTCTGAGGCTGGAGTGATTGGATTGGCGAGTGTGAACAAACAGTGCCTTGTCGATTGACCACATCGGCACGTTTTGCTTGAATTTGTACGTTGAGTTGAATGATTTGCTCGTAAGTGCCGATAAGGTGACCGAACTCCGCTGTTTGTGTAGAGGAGAGAATGCACTCAGAGCTTGGAGCGTGGAATGCAGGCTAACAAAGCCGACCACTAGTTCCTTGAAGGTGGAACGTATTCAAGGCTGTTTACTGGACTGTCGCGTATGCTCAGAAGTCGTGTGTACGCAGATTTGATGGAAGTGGATTAACGCAGTTCACTATACTGGTTTTGGTTCGTTGCTAATCAACACAGAACCACTTCGATGTGGTTATACTACCGAACAGGAGCTGGCGGTTGATATTTTTTCCTCATCAGGAAATTTGGAAGGCTGGTCGTAAGCTAAGCAAACCAGTTTGTCGTTGTTGATTTGAAGGTGGAAGTCGTGTATTTGGTGTCAATCAAGCCTCCAGAGAGATGTTAGCATAAAAGGGGTGCGGGGGGGGGCACGTGTGCGTTCTCTCGGCCTGCAACAGTAAGATGTCCACGAATTGTTCAAATTTCCACACAAAAATATTTCCTCAGGGATACACGAGTGCTAGGACATCTGCTGGAGGTCCAGCATTGCCTAAGACGCGCTAGGATTTCGTCATTGTATACACATTTCCCCTAACCACTCCACTTCAGTGGATGAGTCACCCACGACACCCTACTAATCCGGTTAACAGTCGGAGTGTGTGGTCTTGGTTATGTGCAGAACGTGACAACACCTCACATGGGGACATCGCATTCATGATTTCTTGTGTGTGTGTGTGTGTGAATGCTTATGCTGCATTGCGGTTGGTCTGTTTAAAGACGTGTTCACTGCCCTGTGCTTCTTTACTTTAGGCTTTACTCACTGGAACCTCTTGTAAGCCCGTTTTCGTGTCGCCCGGACACCTAATTACTCTACAAACTGCCGTGCAAATAACCACGAGGTGTTCTATCCATCGAATCCCGGAGCCGACTCGACAGGTACTACGACGCAGCTACTTTTCACTTTAATGTTACGTGGGTTTCACATGGAAATGTTGTTCACGCAATTGAGATTAGGTTTCAAGGGCACATTAAGTTATGAGGCTACATAACATGCAGGCGCAAGATGGAATCAGCTACGGGTGTATTTAATCGA